ATAAAAATATAGGTGTTGAAATGTTTTTTTATTAATGAAAATAGATATATTTGTTTATTATAATTCTAAATTATCATTTTAAAATATTTTTATTATTAATACTAATAAAATTGATCTAATTTGATAGAATTTTAATTGCATCAAATAATTTTTATTATTAATACTAATAAAATTTATCTCATTTACAAATAAGAATAGTAATTGCATGGAATAATTTTCAATTCTTATAATACCGAATATTTTATAAATTAATATTATAGAATTTCTTTCTATAATATTATAGAATATTTTAATTAAAATATTAATTATTTTTTACATAATTTTCTTTCTATTGAAATATTTTTATATATAAATAATTAAATAATTTAATCAATAAAAAATTAAATTATGGTGAGTGTAGATCGAATACGCGACTCCGGATGAAGATGTCCCAACTGAGCCATCCCCGTATTTTGATATTTTTGTCAATTAAAATATTTTTTATTTACACAATTAACTTTGCACTAAATAAAAAATGTTAATGAATTGCGGTGAGCGTGAATCGAACACGCGACCTTCAGATCTTCAGTCTGACGCTCTCCCAACTGAGCTATCCCCGCAATTTAATTCTTTTATTTCAATATTTTTAGCTTAAATAAATAACTTTACGGTGGCCAGATCCAATACGCGGCGTTTCAGATTTTCAATCTCTCTCCCAACTGAGCTACCCCACAATTTTAATTTTATTACTGAACAAATGTCATCATACAGTCTCTTTACAGGTCAAAACGTAATATTGAAGTCAACTCTCTATGACTCTGTTCACTCGATTGCTAATTTAGACCCTTTATTTACTCAATCCAATTTTACAACAAAAACTAAACGAGAGTTCAAAGAAAATCGCCATTTTAGCAGCGAAAGTTGATCGGACCAAGGTCTCACTTATCTAGCCATGATTTCGCAGCTCTTTGTGCTTTCTCAGAGAGGCGACAACATCGTCTTCCGTGACTGTCAGTTCCTTCTTGTCTCCGTCAGCTTACCTTTTCTTTAATCCATTGTTATTTATTTAATTTTAAAGTTTCCCATGTTCATTAGCTGCTGCGTGCATGTGTTAATTTAAGCTCTGTTTTTCTTTTTTTCGTTTTTAACTCAATTGAATTTAAACTTCAGACTAATATGTAAACGAAAATGAAAAGCAGCCAAGCTGATACCTCTAATGATAATCGTAGCATAATATGAATTATTTTCTCCTTTTTTAATTTGAATTTTTATTTTGTTGATGCCAAACAGATCGTGGCGAAGTGCAAAAAGGAAGCGCGGAGATTTTTTTTCGCAAAGTGAAGTTCTGGAATGATGGTGGAGAAGGCGATGCACCTCCTGCATTTGTAGGTATTTTCTTTATAAAATCATCATCGGCAGTACAATTTTTTTCCTGAATTAATGGCCTTTATTTTTTTAATTTATCAAAAAGCAGTGAGAAAACTCGAAAGAAAAAAAAAAGGAATTTGCTAAATGAGTGACAACCAAACAGAGCTTAACTCGTTAAATATTATTCATAATGCACATTTTGCTCCTGCAATGTGATCTTACATGTTTGTCGTGTTTAATCTTCACGGTTGATAGAATGTGAATGGTGTGAACTACTTTCACGTGAGGGTTTCCGGACTATTGTTTGTGGCAACAACCAGAGTTAATGTGTCACCTTCTCTTGTTCTGGAACTTTTACAAAGAATTGCACGCCTCATCAAAGACTACCTCGGTGTTCTTAATGAAGATTCTTTGCGGAACAATTTCGTGCTTGTGTATGAATTGCTGGATGAAGTCATTGTAAGTATTGCTATTGTGTCTCTCTGTCCTTAATGAATTCAGCATAGAAGCGTAGCTGCTACTAGATTGTTTCTCTGCAAGCAAATCAGCTGTTGTTTATATGTACCTTATGGGTTAATTTTCAAAAAAAAAAAAAAAAAGTCACTTAACTGTATTGGCTTAATCTTTATGCTGCCATCTTCAAAGACGTACTTACCCGTCCCCTGTTGTTGGTGAGTTTGAATATTTTCTTTAGTTTTAAGGATCTTTTTTCCTTTCTGGGGTATTCTAGTACAGTAAGTTATTGATCCAAGCATGGCAAGCAAGTTTGTGATAAGGTTTATTGTTGGAAGGGTCCTTGAGATGATCTTTCCTGCCAAAGTAGTGGGAAGGAAAGGGGAGATGGTTGGGGTAGATTAGAAATCTTCTGATTAAGCTAAAAGCTCAGCAAACACAATACTTAGTTTCACTCAGCATCACGAAAATTTTCTATGTACTATTGTGTTATCTTCTCCATTGCACACAAGTGCTCCTTGATTTTCATGCAGGATTTTGGTTATGCGCAAACAACATCAACTGAGGTTTTGAAATCATATGTATTTAATGAGCCAGTTATGATAGATGCGGCCCGTATGCCAAGCCTTGGTCCAGCTGCTATCTTTATGGTATAAATTAATATTGCAAATCGCATCCTAGTGATATCTTTATTGATATTCAGCTTAAATAGGTTATTGATTTTCTATTTGCAGCAAGGGAACAAAAGAATGCCAGGAACAGCTATTACAAAATCAGTTGTGGCGAATGAGCCAGGTGGTAGGAGGAGGGAGGAAATTTTTGTGGATGTAATAGAGAAAATAAGTGTTACTTTCAGTGCTAGTGTGAGTACTTTCGTTCATTTGCCTTAACATCAGCATCGAGAAATTTGTGCTCTGTCATACCTGGTGTCATTTAGTTGCAGAAATGAACTGAGACATTAGACTGCATTTTTAATAGTTTAGTTAGACTGATGTAGGTTTAATTGACTTCCATGGAATTGGTTGGGTCTGTCTTTTAAGACAGCATGACCTGCATTGGCCCCACATGCTTCATATATTGCAAGGAACATAATAAATTTGCTCCTAAGAGTACATAGTTTCATATGGGCATATTCATTTCTTCTAATAGTGCTCCTTAATGATTTCAAATGCTTCAGTTACTTATTCTCAATTTGTTTAATAGTGATAATTTGTTATATTGGCCTCATATTCATATTTCATCCCTATGCACCTATCTTGTTTCTATTTAAGTGTATTCCATGTTTTGTTTAATCAATGCTGGTTTTACAGGGGTATATACTTACTTCTGAGATTGATGGCACCATTCAAATGAAGAGTTATCTTACAGGCAATCCAGAAATTTTGCTTGCTCTGAACGATGACCTTAATATAGGAAGAGGTGGTAAGTCAATCTATGGTATTTTATCGACTCTGATGTTTTAGGACTCTTTTCTTTTCTTTTTTTTTCTCAGGTGAAGTCATATGATACTTTCTGGCTTTTGATTAATTTTTTTGCTTAAATGGACAAGATATACGATAAATATATCAGAAAGGCAAAAGCTGCATGAGCATAACTTTCTTCATGACTTCTGAACTTGTGAACCAAGAAGAATTTCAACTCTCATCTGTCTAGAAACTGAGTTTAAATCCTTATGATGTTATCCAGAATGATTGATGAGTATGATCTGTGCCTTTAATTCTGGTTTTTTTCCTTCAGAAGAATGTTTTCACCATTATGTGCCAATGCATTATTTCTATGTTGCATAATATTTATTTGCTGCTCTTTTCAACAGATTATCGTAGTTCATATGGATCAGGTGCTGTGATTCTTGATGACTGTAATTTCCATGAATCAGTACATCTCAACAGTTTTGACATTGACAGGACCTTGACTCTGGTGAGAGTTCATTTACAAATCCATAGCTTTTTTTTTTTTTTTCATTTTGGCTAGAGTATTCCATTTCCAGCAACATTCTCACAGGTACCACCAGATGGTGAATTTTCTGTCATGAACTACCGAATGACTCAGGAATTCAAGCCTCCTTTTCGTATTAATGCATTGCTTGAAGAAGCAGGATTGCTTAAGGTGAGTTAAGCTGCCTGTATAACCTAGACTTTAAACTTCAAGGTGTTTTGTCTTCTGTTGGATTTAAACTTTCAGTCTGCGTTGTATCTTGTGTACTTCCTCTCAGGCTGAACTAATTCTGAAAGTACATGCTGAATTCTCCTCAAGCATTACTGCAAACAGTATTCTAGTACAGATGCCAGTGCCAACATATACAACTAGGTATTTCTGTTAACTCTAGGTTACATCCTCTCAAGGGTGAATCAACAGGGTTCAATGCTTGCTTTTCAGCGTAAAGCACTTCAACAAAATTCCTTTTGTAAACTTTTCAACTATTTCTTTGACCACCATATCTGATGTCCAATTGCTCATATAGACTGCTGAATTCTAAATTTATAGAGGCACCATCACATTTACAATCGTGAATAAATGAGTAGATGTGACAAGACAAAGTGAAGCAAGTTATAAGTGATGCAGAAGCCATACTTGCACAAATATTACTATTGACTGTTTTTTGGAACAAATTAAATATAGAGTTAGCTTTGACTTGGAGCCTGGAGCAGTTGGAAACACAACTGATTATAGGGAATCAAGCAAGACGCTTGAATGGGGTTTAAAGAAGGTAATTTTTTTTTCTTTGGTGCCCCAAAGGATAGTTAAACTGAAGTTTATGCATTTGCTAACTTGACCTGTGGTAAGGTTTCTCCCTTCAGATACATGCTCGCTTTATGTTGGAGTCATCAGTCATATACATATAATTTACCAGGCTGCGGTATATTGCAGATTGTTGGTGGATCTGAGCATACTCTCCGTGCAAAGCTGACATTTGCACAAGAACCACATGGTTAGATGATTCTATTTTAATTTGTCATTTTCAACTTGACTTTTTATCTCATAATAATCAGTGTCATGTGTTACTTGATACAGGGAATATCACCAAGGAAGCTGGGCCAGTGAGCATGACTTTCACAATCCCAATGTACAATGCTTCAAGACTTCAGGTTAAAAGTTGACCATGTCTTGGTTCTTTGCATGAATAGAATTAAGTTCTGTTTTTGGTTCTATTGTTGAAATAATGTGTAAAATACTCGAGATTCGTTATTAATTGGAAATTTTTGGCCATGTTAATATATAGTAATACGTGGGCATTCATGCTTATCCCTTGTTAGGTGGTATTTCTTTCCTTACATGCGTGTGCAAGCACAGACACACATGCTCAATGTTTAGGGAAATTTGTATTTCTTTGCTTCCTGGTGATTTCCATCCGCACGCTGCGATCACCTTATATGGTGGCTGACAGACGAGTAGGAACTAAAAGTAATTGATTTCTTGACATAAATTTCCAAAAAAAAAAAAATTATGGGGGAGAGAATATTCATGCGCCTAGTTACAGCTTGCAGGTGAAACTATGTGAATCAGAAAGTTATCTATTTTCATTTACTTGTATCATCTTCACCATATAATATCCGAAATCACAGCATAAATAAATCTAATGGAGGCTGCTGGATTCAAATATACATTTCTACATTTTTATGTTTCTGTATGATTTGAATGATTTCGATTTTCAAACCATTTATCTCTATTTAATTTGTGGTGCTCAGGTTAAGTACTTGCAGATGGCAAAGAAATCAAATACCTATAATCCGTATCGATGGGTGAGATATGTCACAGAAGCAAATTCGTATGTTGCTCGACTATGATTTTCGGCTGCTCATCTCTTAGTTTTTCCCTTGTCAGTTCCTCTCTAAATGGCTCATACACTGCACATGGCCTGTAATATTGAAAAAAAAAAATTCGATATCCCTTAAATAGATAAAGTCCGATCTGTCGGCTCGACTAAATTGACTTAATGTCACCGGCTAAGCTATCATTGGTGCACCTGAGTCTCCATTCACCGTGCATTTGTGTTTTGGAATCAGCATCTTAGGCATGTCTTTTCTTAGGGGAGGAATATTGGATTTGGAGATTGGCTTGTCTCCAAACGAACTAGATGATATCCACTGCATGAACTAGGTGATATCCACTGTATTCAATTTTTGGGGTCGAATGACAGATGATTGGAACTGCTGGGCAATTTACTTGTCGGGGGAACTTGATCAAAATTTGTAAATGTCCACTGTTCACAGGAAATCTCCAAGGACCGTAGCATAGATTTCGGAACTCGATTCTTTCTTTACCCCAAATCCCAATTTAGAGTTAAAAAAGAAAGTTGAATGGTCTAATCTGTCGCTTATGCTTGGAGTTGGTGAGCACAGTTCCCCCCCGAAAGTGGATTCCATTGGCTACTTTGAGGTTTCCCTGTTCCTTTCTGCTCAAAAAGGTAACTAACTCTATTACTCAGATGTCAGATCCCAGACTTTCCTTGCTTTCTGACTTTAAAGTTTTATACTTTTTAATATTGCTTTCCCCACGTCAAAGTTTCTACCTTCTTTTTTTAAAAATTTTTTCTGGATATTACCACATATTTATGATGCTTCGTTTTGACTACTCGGGGTTGTCGACAGTTGGAATCGGATTCAATCATTTCAATCAACGAAGCTTTATTTTTTGGTACATATAATCAACTAAGCTTTGTTGAAACTGGCAGCGAAACAAAGCTTTAGTTATAGAAATTAGCATAATGCTATATGTGTCAACTAGCATAAAGAGAGAATGCTGAATCTTTTTTAGTTAGTTGAACTTCGAAGCATAGTTTGGATGGGAAGATTATCAAAACTAAATATAAGGTGAGGCGGCCAAAAGTTTGATGGGATTAGTATTCCTAAGCATAATTAAAGGTATGCTTTCAAAAGAAGTCGGTTTCTTTAGTTTTTTTTTTTTCCAATGATATCTAACATTTCAGATTCAGCCTTCCCATCCCAAAAAAAAAAAAAAGGCCACCAATTGGGTTAGAGAGAGCTCAAAACAAGTGTCTTTTTTTTTTCCTAATTCTTGTGGGGGGAATTATCATAATTGGATGGTTTAGTTGTTGATTGTGGTGATTAATTATTATCCTTAAAAAAGAAATAATTCCAATAAAAAAAATCTCAGTGAAACGCTAAATGTACACAAAGTGAGACAGAGGCACATGAAGTCCTCCAAGGCCACTCTGGAAGGTGATGATCTAGTTCCCTAACACCCAAACAGTAAACACAGTCCTCCAATTGTCCCACACACCAATCCCCAAACCCTTCAGATTATTTCGGCAGTTCCTTCCTTTGGATTTTTCACCCTCTTTTTGTTCATTCTTGGGGCAAGATACGTTGTTTTTCTGGTTCCGAACACACCAACGCACACCCCCTAAACCCCATATCAAGACCAGACCAGTTTCCATCAATCCATTTAAAAATTTAATTGCAATGGTTTGGAAAAACAGAGATGCTGTCCTGGAATTTCATGTCCGTATCATAAAAGATCTTATACAATAGTGTCTGAATAATGAATGCATGTTTTTGGGACTGATGCTCTACATGCCTCCATTGAATCTTACACTTTCCCCCCCACTAACAAATAATACATAATTAGGGTTGAAAATTTTTTCCGAGTCATTTCATGTAATGATTAATGATAATGAAATTGAAAAAATGGGACATATGTCAATAATTTCTAATATATATATATATATATATATATAAAAATATATTCTGTGTTTTCGATATTTAATCAAATATGAATATATGATATGATTTATCAATTTATATTGATACTCTGTGGCCAATTTTTTAATGTAGAGCTAGAGCCAAGATACTCTGGGCAGTAAGCATCGCCCTGCTTTGCTCTCGGGTTGGTGGGTTAAGATGGTTCAGAGAAAGGCTCGGGTCCATGTTTTTCCAAGACCCAAAAAACCAAATAGAAGCAGCCCAGAGTTTGAGTCAGGAATAAAGATTCCACCACGACACCCAAAAGCAAAATTAAAAAGGGAGAAAAAAGAAAGAAAAATCGGTATTGTCATGTTAATGAAAAGTGCCTAAGTATGGTAAATGACAAAACAATTAAAGATTGAGCTTAGCGTATTATAAGTACACATATGCCCGCTTTCTTCTTACTTCTTAGCCTTCTCCCCCTCTCTTCCCCTCCCTAAAGGAATCTGATCGTACTATTACCATATCCAACCGTAGATCTTCTCCTGTCCCACTGTTTTTTTCTCTCATAGTATAGTCTACAAAGCTCTACCTTCTCTGTCTCTCACTCTCTCTCTCTCCATCCTTTTGTCTTTCAATCAAACTCCTCTGACCTTTCTCTTTTTTCTCTGTGTTTCTCTTTCTCACTGTTGCAGGGAACAAAGAACAAAAAGTCATCCAAGGGAGGAGCAGAGGTGATTGAACATGTTCAAATCTCCAGAACTCCCAGATTGCTTTTACCAAAACCAGCCAACTTTAATCTGTCCCAACACCCCGACCCCAAAGCATTCCCTGTATCTCTCCAACCTTGATGATCAAAAGTTCCTTAGATTTTCCATTAAATATCTCTACCTTTTCAAGAAAGCTGTTAGCCTAGATATCTTGAGATATTCTCTCTCCAAAGTTCTTGTTGATTACTACCCATTAGCCGGGAGGTTGAGAACATGCACACTCGGGGATCAGAAGCTCGAGATTGATTGCAATGGTGAAGGCGCCGTCTTTGCTGATGCTTTCATGGATATCACTTCCGATGAGTTCCTTGAGATTTCCAGGAAACCCAACAGGTCTTGGAGGAAGCTCCTTTACAGGGTTGAAGCTCACACTTTCCTTGACATCCCTCCCCTTCTAGTTCAGGTCAGATGTCATTTCATTATTCATCCTTTCCTAGTAGTAGTTTCCCATTGACAAACTTATGAAATAGTGGTAAAGTAGTTGATTTTTTTTTAAAGATTGACCTTAGTGATAATTAAATAATTATTGGTTCCATTTGTTCCTTTCTTATTCAATTTTCAATCTGGGAATTAAAAAAGGAAACCATTTTAAGTTGATCAGATTCCCAACTTAGCTTAATTGCTCCAAAATCCTCTGACTTTACTAATTATAGATAAATATAGTTCCATTTCCATGTTCCTCAATGTGATCTTTTCTGTTTGGTAACAATACTATATCTTTCCATTGCTAACGCCAACCCCATCAAAATTCTGATTCCGTACAAAGGAAACGACGTCACGCTGGTTCTCAGTCTGACTTCTGCCTGCCATTGCTCATTGCATTTGCCGACGGCTCCGTTTTTGAGTGCCCTTTTGGTTTTCCTTTTGCGTTTTGTAAAAATTGTACATGCTCTTTTTCAAAGAAAATGACCCCAAAGAAGCTGACCCTACTTCTTACAGACGTTGCTCCTCTCTCTTTTGTTCCTTTCACTACCCGTTGGTGGTGAGCTTTTTTTTTTCCCCTTTAGTTTTCTTTTTTTTACAAATTATGTCAAGAAATTAGTCAAATTTGAAATTATCCGTGAAATTAAACTTTACCTTAAATTTTCTTTTGGACTTTGAATTTATTTGTAATTTTTCATGGTGCAGGTAACGAATCTCCGCTGTGGAGGTATGATCCTCTGCACCGCGATTAATCATTGTATATGTGACGGCATAGGCACTTCCCAGTTCCTGCACGCGTGGTCCCACGTGATCACCAAACCAACACTCGATCTTCCCATCGCGCCCTTTCACAGTCGCCACGTGTTGAAACCCCGACATCCTCCTCAAATAACCCATACCCACAGGGGATATACCAAAAATACCCCCAAAGACGAATCCCACGTGGATATCAACCAGTATTTACAGTCTCAGCCACTGGTGCCAACATCCTCAACCTTCACCACTGCCAACGTCCTCCGACTCAAACGACAGTGCGTCCCGTCCCTCAAGTGCACCACCTTCGAGGCCCTGGCCTCCCACACGTGGCGCTCATGGGTTCGATCCCTGGACCTGCCCCCTTCGTTCACCGTCAAGCTCCTGTTCTCCGTCAACGTTCGGAAAAAGTTGAACCCGGAAATGCCTCAGGGGTATTACGGCAACGGATTCGTCCTCGCCTGTGCCGAGACCTCGGTGAAAGACTTGGTCACCGCGAATTTACACCACGGGGTGAAGCTAATCCAGCAAGCCAAATCCAGTCTAACCGACGATCACGTGAGGTCAATGATCGACTTGTTGGAGGACAAAGATGTCAAAACGGATACTTCCTCGAGCCTGGTAATTTCTCAATGGGCTAAGTTGGGATTGGAGGACTTGGATTTGGGAGAAGGGAAGCCATTGCATATGGGCCCTTTGACAAGTGATATTTACTGCTTGTTTTTACCGGTTGTTGGTAATTTTGACGCGGTGAGAGTGCAAGTATCAGTGCCAGAGTGTGTGGTTGAAAAGTTTGAGTATTATATGAAAGAAGGTTTGGATAAAGAAGAAAATGGAGATATTAATGGGTTTCATAATGGAGAACAAAATGGTTTGATTTGAAGAAGGTGCTTCAAAGTTTTTTTTTTTTTTTAACCCTCCCCTGGTAATAATGAGAGACACTTACTGTAATTTGAGTATCTAAAGGTGAATATCTGATTGCTTTTTTATATTTCCGAAGAGTACTTAAATATGCCTTCATGTTGTGCCTAAAACATTAGTAATTTAATTTTTTTTTATATAACGAGTGATTGATTTAATCGATTAATTCTTTTAATTTAACCATAAGAGAAATCAAGATCGAATTCGAGCATAATTCGGAGGTTAAAACAGTTTGTTTTGGTACCAAAATGATGAGAATAAATACTCTTAAAAAGTCTAAAAGTAGTACACTAGTAATTAAGTGGTGAAAGCTTAAGGAAGTGATTGACCTTATAATTGCACATGCCATGCCATGGCAGCCAAGGAAGATATAGAGCAAAATCATATAGAGCAATGTCTGTTCACCTTTTTGTGGATTGTTGTTGGTTGATGTCTTGTACAAATGCAATCTTCCACTATATATGTCGACATCCCACCATGTTAAAATGATCCAAAACGTGTCCAAATGTGATATGTTTATAGTGTTAAAACATAATTATCCAAAATATATAAATTTATATTCATAAAAATTTCGATTAAATGAGTAGTTTTATAGATGATTTTAGCTTTATATATTTCATTCTAAATTTCCAATATTTATTATAAGTTTTCATCAATTTTTTTTACCGATATTTATCAATATTTTTGTATCCACAATTTAAATGACTCGACATCTACAACAATATCAATACCTCTAATTCTTTTGTTAATATTCATCAAATGATTTGAATTTGAATCCTCCAGAATTCATCTATTATTGAGTGGAATTATCTATTTAAAGATAGCTACTTAAACCTAGCATGGTCCCTCAGCATAGCCTTTTAAGGCGAGGGCAGGGTAGGAGACCCCAAATTTAGAACAAAGGGGGTCGCTTTCTAGCATTTCTTGTGTCAAACTCTATGGATTGTCGTTTTAGGTCAAAAATGTCGAATTCATTGCAATTATACGACATTGTGCCAAATTAAGAGACAACACAAATCTCAAAAGTCATACATAGATCCAGGTAGAGTCGTCAAGGCCACCCTTGGCCATTAATTAATTAATTATTTAAGTTTAGTATTTAAGGTGTTGAACTTACTACATCCAAAAAGGAAATTAATTGCGTTTAGGGGTATCGAGCTTTTCTCTTCTAAACCTCACGACTCACATGGTCAAACAAAATACTAACTTTGATAAGCAATGAAATGTTTCTCGTGAAATTCTTTATTGAAAAATATTAATCGACATTTTTTAAAATTTAAATTTAATTAATCTTGTTTATCGTTTATAAATATTGTGTCATCATCAATCAAATCAGTCGTAAATTTAACAATTGGGTATATATGCTACATGATATTAATTAGTTTGATTTTGAATTCTTTAAGTGGTATTTAAATAGATTACTACTATAGTACTGTACAATGTGATGGCCTAGCAATGATTCAATGCTATAAGACAAGGCCAATCAGAAAGTGGGGGGTTGGGTTTTGTTTTCCCCAATGATTTTCCATAAAACCATGGACTTGCTTGGCTAAAGTTGGACAATTAGGCAATAATTGTTGTTTGGGGTTAGTGATTTCTCATCTTACAAACTTCTAATAATGAGCTTCTTGTTATTTTACTGAAAAAATAAATAAATAAAGGGGTCACACTTCTTATCTCATCTAGGCTTCTATTTAAATAACAAAGTGGCTAAAAGAGAATGAGGGGAGGAAAATGCCCCAACCAAGTGCAAGTGCCAGTTATATTCCTCCTATCTTCTTATCCAATCCTGTGAGGCAAAACCCATAGTGGCAGCTCACAATTTGTGAACACAAGGCAGTCCTCTTTTCTCACAATTTTTATTCTTGAGCTAACTCATGGTGGGGTGGTGATGATCATCTTCATCTTCCTTTTTAGGTCTGATCAGAGTCGTGCCACCTCTTCTTACATCATATGGACTGAACCAGCAGTGTAAGAATTCAGATAACTTCATGTTAACCTTAAAATAATTAAAAAACAAAAACAAAGATAACATTAAATACTTGCACGTGTTTACAAGCACTCAAACTTTGCTGAAACAGAATTAGATATATATTTTATGCTTCAAGATTGGTTCGATCATTATAATTTACACAGTTGATGGGGTGGCTATTGGTTTCCCCCATGGAAGTGCTTAGTTGCTTTTCTAAAGGTTAGGGTCTTCCTTTTTTCTTCCCATAAAAATTTTCAGGGCATTTCCTTATATTTCTTATAAGTTTAATTGTTAAGGCAATGGGAATTCCCCATTGGAGCATAACAAGATGATAAGAGAGAGAGAGAGAGCAAAACATATAGAAAGTGGAACATTAGGAATTCGACTGATGTTGAATGTAAGTGCAAATGTCTTATCTGCCACCCCTATATTCAACAACATTTCCTTTCTTCCTTGTACAATTGATTTCATTTTACTTGTTGATAAATCCCATAATTGAATTTGATTGATTATTTTTTAAAGGTCTTTTTTCTCGATCAATCGATTTTGAAATTTTTAAAATTTGAACTATTAAAATGCACGATAAAATTAAATATATATATATATATATATATGAATGTCGATTCAATAGTTCATTGTCAGTTGAAATGTACAATAAACTTTAAAGCTTGATGGTTACCAATGATTCAGCTCATGAGCCCACCCCATGTTCGTATCAATAGACTTCTTCTTTAATCATTGAATTTTCCAGTTTCTCTTATGACACTTTATAAATCATTTTGCATTAAAAGACACTTTACCTTTTTCATTATAAAGTATAAGTATATATGGTAATTAATACTAATATAGTTACCAAAAATTACCCATTGGCGTGGTTTAATTAATTATTGAATAAGAAATAATTTTTAATTAAAATTTCAAATTCTAATCAAGAAGAAATGTGGTGTTAAAGTCAAGAAAGGAATAAATCAAAGCCAATGTGAAGCCCATAGATGAATAAGAAGCAAAATTAATGCAATTAAATGCCTCATATGGCCAACAGAATATCATGCTCTAAGTTGGTGATATGAAGGAAAGTTTTCAAAGTTACATTATTTATATATAACATTATGCGTTACATATGATTTAACAATGTATAGTATTTATATATTATCATGGACAGTGTATTATGTATAATTATATTTTTATCTTAATTATATTATATTAGTTTTTATATTATTTAGTCCACTAGATGATTACCACATTAGTTCTGTAGACCCACATGAGAACTCTTACATCATCTTCCTTTCTGTTCATTAATTAATTAATTAATGCTTTACTTTTTCTTTTTTGCCTACAATTAAGTAATGATGAATGGTTAATATATAGGATTAGTCTTATCTAGGCAATAGCATCTTAGATTAAGGAAGGGATTATTATTAGTCTTCCCACTTTGAATAAAGAATTGTTCCTGTTGACCCTCCATTGATTGACTCTAGTTAAAACAAAGTTTGAAATGGGAGGCTGAGCTGGATTAATGTTGAACACATGGCAAAATTTGATTGGATATTATAGATTAGAACAAGGGGCAAACAAAGTTCAATGGTCCCGTGACTTGGAGCAGTGTTCATAAAATAATGAAAAGCGTCAATAATCTTTAAGGGAAATTATAAATTTCGTATCGACTGTGTATTAAGGAGAACCGTGAACTTCATCGAGTCAAAACTAAATAATATTTATAAGTTGATGTAAACCGTGGTATAATATTAAATGACACTGAGGCTAGGCTTAGCTACTTGACGTGGCTGTGTTGGCAATGAAGAATGTGAGGGGCAGGGCTGGGCAGTAGGGCTTTCCTCCCGTGAGGGAAGTCATTTTCTTTTGTTTCATCAATGTTGATAGACAAAAAGCCAAGGAAGAAAGAAAGCTTTGAATTAACCACTGCATCACGTGGACTCCAATCAACATCCCATCGCTCTTTTCTTCTTTCTTTTCTTTCTTTTAATACTAGTATAAAACTTTATCCGCTCATCCATTGCGTCACCATGCAAAAAATCAAAACCATGAACAAGAATGGCTGTTTCATGGGCCTAAGGCCCAAATATAAAGCCCAATTCTTAACTTATTGGTCCCTAATGGGCTTCCTAGCCCACCTGATAAAGGGCCACACGAAGTACACAATCGTTGTAATTTATTACTAGTTTACCATTGGGCTCGTGTCCGTTCCCAATATTTTTCTTCAATACACTGTGTTATGGTAAATTCGATATACATCTCTTACTGTTTTATTTTTTTACATGATATCTTATGTTTTTTTTTTCTTAATTAACATTTGGTAACAATTTCTGTGCTTATAGGAAGACAAATTATTAATTTTACTTAATAAAATTATCAAAATTCTTTAAATGTAAAATTAATTTACTTGTTCAAATTTATGAGTGCTTTTTAATTTTATTAAGTAAAATTAACAATTTAACTCCTTGTAAAAATGAAAGTAATCCATGGAATAATAATTAAAACCAATATATCATAGTGGTGTTAGAAAAGTTAAAATTTTAAAAGATATAAGTGAAAATTTTTTTGGCATGGAAATGACAGCTTAAAATCATAAATAGTGGAACTAACCTGTAGTTAATGTGAATAATTAAATTTAACAAATAATTTTGGACCAATTTAAGTATAGAATAATGAATCTTTTAATTAAGTTTAAGGGTAGTTGCCCAGTTGGGATAACGAGGGGGAATCACGCCTAAGGCGATTAGATCCCGAGTAAGATACCAAAAGCACGCGCTCGGACAGCATGCTCCACGCGCATGCGTAGCAGCCAAGCTACGCTTTTCTTTAACAGGAAAAAAACAGAAAAAGTCTTAAAAACCGGAGTCAACTCAAAGCGAAGCATAGTTTCAACGGTAACTGAAAATTGGGGGTTTACTGTTTTAATACAAATTCGCACCAAAAATTGTTTAGCTTTCTCCTCAATCTTCCGCCCAGGTAATTTCCTTTTTTCCTTTCTTTTTTCTTTAATTATTTTCTCTATTTACGTCAATTTTGAATTATCATGAATTAGGTCACGAAAGGTTTAAATTCACGTGTTCTTAATCCAATCTGAAGAATTTTCTTCTCCGGGAAAGATATTCTGAAGAATTTGAATTAGATTACTTCGTTCTTCTGTTTTTTTTTTATTTCAATTTTTAGCTACTAATTGAATTAATTTTAAGGATTATTCGGTTGAGAACTTTAATTTCCTTCAAGGGCTTGCTTAATTTCTCGTTTAACTTGAAAAAGTAATGGGCAAAAGAATTTGGGTTTTTTAATTATACTGTAGATTTTGTTGATGCATTATTCTTCCAGTCTGAACATGTTAGGTTGATTTTGATGTTATAATTTTGCTTTGTTTCCCTTTGTTTAACAGAAAGAGGTGAAATTTATGATAAGGCTATTGCTAATTGAGCTTGGCTTGTTTAGCTTTCTATCGTAGCAATGGCAAAACTGCTACACATGGATTCCAGATGTGCAGCTAGCATGCGTTTGTCAGAGCAGCCAGGTTCGTCTGCACGCAAGTGGTACTTCAGCAGGGAAGAAATCGAGAATTATTCTCCGTCTAGGAAGGATGGAATTGACCTTGGGAGAGAGGAGCAGTTGCGGAAGTCATATTGTTCGTTTATTCAAGAACTTGGCATGAAGCTTAAAGTGTAAGTTCAGGGACTTTGTCCATTTTGAAGTACTCTATTGTAACTCGATGATCAGTTAAGTGTTTTCCTGTATCTCCATTTAGGCCCTTAGTTTTGCTGTTTTTGAGGTTGTTGCGCATATTGCTTTTGAAGCATTATCTCTGATGTTGTGTTTTTAGTATGTTTTAGGATTGTTTCTTTACTTCATACTTCTTTCCACAAGATTAAAAAATAATAAAAATGCCTGTACAATAAATGAGATACTACTAGATTCTTCAGAAATCCTCTCAAGTTGCTTTTCGATGCATCACTTTAACTGCTCAAAATAAGGTTTGTCTTTTGCTATACTAGAAATGGTGATGAATGAATTTACTTGCAGGCCTCAAGTGGCAATAGCATGCGCAATGATGCTGTGCCACCGGTTTTACATGCGTCAATCTCATGCAAAGAATGATTGGCAGGTAGATGTTGTATTATCCTGTTTTCATGCTTCCTTGTATCTTTCTCTTTTGAAATATAGAATTCTCAGTTTGTGTGGTTTCCCACTAAGATGGGTGCTGATAGAGAATACATGCTGAAGTACTTTGCACGAGACCCATTTATTAGCTACAATTAGATTAGCATTTAACTGCATTCGTTGGAACCAGGACATTAGTGACTTGATCTTAGAAATGAAAGATTCTAGATATTATTTTCTTACAGACTATTGTTTATTTTCTAATATTTAGTATTAATTTTCATTCTGTCTGAAAATTTTCTCGTGGAAAATTGGGCTTTTCTTTGCATAGAAGAAGGAAGATGAGATGTTTTTAATTATTAAATTTTTCAAATTTCTACCTGGCTTGATTTTTCTTATTTGTGAACATGTTTGTGAATGGTGCAGACTATTGCAACTGTTAGCACATTTCTTGCTTGCAAAATTGAGGAAACACCACGCTTGCTGCGGGATGTTATTGTTGTAGCCTATGAAATTATCTATAAACGGGACCCTTCTGCTCCAGGAAGAATCAGACAGAGAGTACGCAAATTGGTTGTGCTCAGCATGAATCTATGTTTTATCATTATCATGCTCGCCTAATTTCTTACCACTTTTTGTGTGCAGGAAGTTTTTGATAAGCAGAAGGAATTGATCTTAACTGGGGAGAGGCTTTTGTTGGCAACAATTGCATTTGATCTTGATATCCAACTCCCTTACAAACCCCTTGTTGCAGCTGTGAAGAGATTGGAAATTTTTCCTAACCTTTTAAAAGTGGCATGGAATTTTGTGAATGATTGGTGAGGACTTGTTCTTTCTAACCAAAACTACTTATCGTTATGCTATTGTTGATTAATATCTTAGTTCATTTCCTTGTGGCTTTATGATATTTAATAATTTCATGATTTGAACTCGCAGGCTTCGTACAACCTTGTGCCTGCAATACAAACCCCATTACATTGCAGCTGGTTCCATGTGTCTTGCTGCCAAATTTCAAAAAGTAAAGCTGCCAATGGAGAAGGGGAAAGTATGGTGGTTGGAATTTGATATTTCGCCTAAACAATTACAAGGTTTGCTACTACAGATGTCTTTCTGTCTAATTATGTGTATCTACTTTAATTCCTTACTCATAGTCATGATATTTTTAATGAACAGGAAATATGCTGATAACTAAAATGGTGGGTGAGGTTCTAATTTACTCCCCACACTTTGAAAACGTGTTAGGCATGGACCATGAAGAACTTGTTTCAAATCACCTTCCTATAACATTAACAAATGTTTTTCTTCTTAGAGAATAAGTATAATGACTCAAGCTTTACCAACATTTCTTTGAAATATCAATCATGGTCGTTTTTAACCCTTTTTATTAATGGGGATGATTATCTTTCATTTCTAGTTATTGTGGTTCAACATGAAACTCTATTGTAAATCTTTTCAGAGGTCACCCAGCAGATGGTCAGGCTGTTAGAGCGTGACAAAGAACGAGCTTTATCATCAAGACATGAGAGGGCTGGCCAATCTGTTGCTTTAGCTGGAAAGGCAATTATCAGTGGCACACAATCTAGCACTTTGGCTGCATCACATGCCAAGGATCAGTCTGGTACTGGAGCTGAGAATAGCAAACTTAGCAAATCTCTGGACAGTTGCATCAGGGATGTTAGTATGAAAGAAGTTTTACCACATCAGAGAAGTGATAGTGGTGCAAGTAGTGTTGTTGAGGATGGCACTGATAAGGATCAGCAAAGAACACAGGTGTCTGACCTGAACTCAAGTTTTAAGATTGTTTCATCTCAGGTCTGTGGCGACAATGAAGTCAGTGCCAAAGAAAATGTACCATGTCAAACCAGTGATAGTGGTGCAAGTACAGTTGTTGACAATGGTGAAGGCGAGTGTGAGCTAAGAACAGAAGAATCTGATCTGAACCCAAGCTTTAAGATTGTTTCAGTTCATAATACCTTTAGCAAGAGTGATGCTGACCAGTTTAGAGAGACCTTGAAGAGGAGGAGATGTGATAGGGCTGCCAATCGGAAGTGTGTTGGAGGCATAGAAGATGAGGCAGACAGTGAAGCAACTGAGGAATCTGACCGAAGCTTTAAGATTGTTTCAGTTCGTAATACCTTTAGTAAGAATGATGCTAACCGGATTAGAGAGACCTTGAAGAGGAGAAGATGTGATAGAGCTGCAAATCGGAAGTATGTCCGAGGCATAGATGACGAGACAAACAGTGAAGCCTGGATAGAGAGAGAGCTGGAGAATGGAATAGAGCTGGAACCTACCTCTTCCCATAAGCAAAGAAGGGCCTAAATACTCACTAACCAGCCATCTTCCTTCTGACTTACTCCATCAAAATGACCTTCCATTGGCACATTTATAGCATTACAAGAAAGACTATGAATTCTATTCCATTCTTGGAACGACTATACTATTTCCACTTTGTTGTATACAGTAGAATTATCCCAACATCTTTGCAGTAGGTTGAATTCATGTTTTAGATCATTGATGCCAGAATTGCAACCATTCTTTCACTATGAATTGTAAATGTACAGTTGAACTATAATTTATTAGGAAAAATATTCATTTTTGGTCACTTTAAGGGGTGTTGAGTTGAAGAAAAAGAAATGGCTTCCTCCCTAGAAAAAGCCCAGCACAAATATCTTGTTCTGTTGATCCATCATAGTGCATCTGGTTATCTAGTAAGTCTGTTTATGGTCTGGTCTTGGGCCTTTGAGTATTTGGGAGAAAGGCTGGGCTAGAAGTTAACTGTTTGATCTTCTCCTCAAGGTAAGCCCAGATGTATCCCTTCTTCTTCTTCTTCTTTTCTCTTTCATTTTCTTTTAAAGTTTTTTCTCTCATGGCTTATCATCTCAACGGCCCTTTAGTATTGATTTTCATCAAAAGCGTGTAGTTGCGTATGCATATTCGACAGGTTTAAGGTAACAATGGAATGATATTACTAAATCTGATTACGTTAATTTAGGACAATTTCATTGGGAATTAGAAAAAGAGAGATAGAAAGAAAGAACAATTATTTACGTTTAATACAAGTAATTTAGCAAAAGGAGTGATAAACTTTGCTTTTGAAATATTGAATGACAACTTACTTTGTTTTCCCATGCATCTCACATGCCCTTTTCGGCTTTTCCCATCACAATATTTCCGGATACGTCTAGCTTTTAATTATCTATCATGAACCAATTTGCCATCATCCGTAAGCCTTTAGTTTTTGTTTTATTATGTTCCTCTCTAATCGTACACTTATTCAAAAGGGTTTTTCCTCCCCACCCTTCTCTTTCTTTCTTTTCCAATGTCATATCATATCAATTGCATTTGATTGCATAAGGATTAAGAACCGTCTTCCAAAACTTTGTATTGAAAAATCTGCTTAGAAGCAAGCAGATGAAGCACTTTTCTTTTCAAGTGGGAGAGGAGGGGGAGATACGTGGAGATCAGTGGAACCCCCTATGCCTTGAAAAGCATGCACATAAAGCTCCTCACCCACCAAACCCTTCCTCCAAAGCTCCGGGCACTAGCCATGTGGTTTTTCTTCAACAGAGTCATTCAATTTTCTCATGTCTCATAGGCTTTTTTACCAGGAAAATTTGTTGAAAGAAAAAGAATCTGGTCAACACTGTCTTATCTTCATATCATCCTTGGTATACAAAGCTTTTTCCTTCTTTCTTTTGTTCTACATCTTTTGGGGGGGCAGACCATTTTCATCTTTTCTTGATTGTGTGGAGAACATGATCCATCAAAGATCTCATTTATGAAAGAACCCAATGATAAAAACTTTGATCAGAGTGGCCTGTTCCTAGATGGCAACTCAAAGTGTTTAACATCACACTTGTATAAGCAAAAGACTTTGTATCATTGGGCTTACTAGCTGAGTATCAACAAAGATAGCAAACATGCATGGGGGGTGAATCTGCACCGTTGTTGTTGGACGATCTTGCATTAATTGTACCAAAACCTATTAAAAGACAAGAGAAGGAAAACCCGCAAATAGAGTAATAGGAAGATAAGGGTCATCAGAAAGTATAAGGAAATATGTTTATATATATGGTTAAGTGGAGGGTGATGGAAAGCAATGGCCCCTTTGTGTTTGATTTAATTTTCATGCCCTAAGCTTGAAAAAAATAAAGCACATATTCTCTGTTGCTACAATGCCTTTGTCTTCTTCTTAGACATACTTTTTTAATCTTGCAAACTTTAGACCCCCTTTTAAGGGCTTTTGCTAAATTTTTGACTCAAAAAAGTTTCGATATCTATATATACATACACGAGGGAAAAGCACAAGCAAACGAATGAGGTTAAAGGATTGAAAAAAAAAGGGACAGGGAAGCAAAAGAGCTTGCGTATTATATGTTATAGTTGTTGAAAATGATTTTCGGTTTATATTTATATATAAATAACTTTTAAGTACATTACCTTTATTCAAGTCTTTAACCTTGTTTATGGGTGGAAGACTTACTTCAACCTTAATGACTACATTAAAACATAAAGTGCTGACATTACATCCATTCGTATCCCCAAAGTTATCATGTCTTTGTTCATTCGAATCTCATGATTTAATTGAATTTAAATTTAAATCGAGATTAAAAATAAGTATACATAGAGATGGATACAAAATTTGATATTTTAAAATCATATGATTACATAAACTTTGGTAGTACGTACATAGATATAGGATTTTCGGCCATATGTAAAGAAAAACCAAATTTATGGTTATTATTTGGTAGGTTTATATTAAAAAAAAATGTCGGAATAAGCTCTAAGCACTTCTTCTAGAAATGTAGAATGGTCAGGGAAAATTTCATAAGGAAAATCTGGACTGCCAACTTTCCAATCACTCCATGAGAGTCCTTATTCACTATCATTACATACTAGTTAGAATAAATTAATCCAATATTATCTAAAAATTTGGCTAACTTTACAATAAACTAATAAAGTTTATATATATATATATATATATATCTCTCTCTTAGAAGGAACTGGGATCTTTGACCCTTGGCTGGTTGACTGGCTACACTTGGAAAAAGGTGCTTGTAGGCTGTATTTTTCTGATGATGATGGACCCCTAAAAAGGGATTAATCATAGCCAAAATGCTTTTAGGAGTGGGCTAATTAGGCTTCTTTGTTTGCTAGAGGATTAGGAGAGTAATCATAAAGTATTTATCACTATTTTATTTGCCAATTGCTTGGTATTTCGGTTTCTAAAGGCTGAAGTCATACACCAATTGAAACTTTTTGTGTGTTCAATCACTAATTAATTAATTACCAAACTTTTAATAAATTAATAACATTTGGTGGAAAATTAGCAAGCCTAATGTGCTTAATTATATAGCTGCCTTTAGGGTCAAGCGAGGTCAAACTAATGACTAGCAATGAAGGTACACCATTGGGTTGATTCATTTCCTTTAAAACCTAATGCATATTTGGTGAAATGCATGGCTTATTTTGTTTTAAATATTGTTACATTTTTAAGTAAACATGTTTAATTTAATTATTCATAATTTTTTATTTGATATAGTAATCACTATTTATTAATTATATATATGAATGAAAAAATGGAAAAAAAAAAAAGAAGATCAGAGAGGTTATCACCGTCAAAAACAATAGTAAGTTGAAGTTTGAGGAAAAGGGAGTCAGAGGAGGTTGTTACCGACGGAGGGGAAGTGAGGCGGTGTCGGCTGTTGGGTTCGGGTCTCGATAGGTCACGGATTTGTATTGTTAAAGAAGACTCGAAAAAGATCATTTTTCACTTTTTTTTTTCTCGATCATTTTTCACTTGTTTATATTGTTATAGTAAATAATTTTGATCATTGCAATGTAAAAATTCCTATCCAATTTCCTAAACTTTTGCCTACCCATTAACCACTAAAAAAATTCATCCATATAAACTTGTTCAAGCTTTGTAGAACTATTTATGGTTATCATTAATTGGTACTGTGAAAGTAACCCTAATAGCAGTTTTAGCTATTGACTTTGCAAAATAGAAGAAAGAAAATAATCATGAATCTGCTAATGTAACCAAGTTGGAAAACATTGAATCACCTTGCAAAGGGGAAAGTTTTTTAACCCCTAGTGTTAAAAAGGGAATGAGACTTGGGTCACTTTTTTTATTATGTCTCTTTGTTTCTTTTGAGTTTGTTGTTTTTATTCTCATTTAGGGGGATATGATTCATCCCTCCTTTTCTAAAGCTAGATATATCCTTACTGGCAGAGTGGGCAAACCAAGGTTAAACTTATTCTCAACTATCACACCCTAGAGTTTGAGAGTTGTGGCCAATGTAAGCTGCAATGGAAATAGTACCACAAAGCAAAGATATATAATTAACTAGTATCAATGATACTGTAATTGAAACCTGATGTAGGAGCAGCTTTTGTGAAATGAACCTTGGAAGATAGTGAAAACTGGGAAATATGCAAAAGGTGACAAGCAAAGGGTAAAGGAAGAAAAGCTCTCTAATATCTTCTCTTTCCCCCACACATACAATAAAGAAGAAAAGCTTTGGAGTAGAGAAAGGAAGCCCTCCCCCTTCACCCTTACCCCCCCACCCTCCCCAGCCCAAAAAGATGAAAGGGTTTTAAGCAAAAAGTGGGATAAATAAACAAGCATAAATGCAAGGAGTGTAAGATGAGGGGCTGGGCGTGCTGAGGGGAGAGAGTAAAAAGAGCCAAAAAAAAAAAAAAAAAAAAAGAAAGGCAAAGGTAAGGCTTGCCCATACTCTGTCTCATCTCACATTCTCCCAATCCACTTTTCAACTGATGTGAACTTTTGTGGGGACTGAATCAAATTATTATACTTTTCTTCATTTTGACAGCTTAATCAAATACTTAATTAATCTAATCCTTCATTATCCCTTCTCTCCATCTCCCATAAGCAGACAGATAACACTTAAGACAGATTTGTCATTATGGTCAATCAGGATATTTTAGACCTAGGCCTCACTCCCGCCCTGCCCCCATCCCTTTACTCTTAATTATTTTATAAAATATACAGAGAAATTTATATATTTAAATAGTTAAATATGTAGGAAATAAATAACTTTTTTTTGGTCATAAAGATATGTAATTTTAGTATCACTTGATCATATAATAATACATGCCCACATGTATATATAATTATATCTGTGTCATAATCATATAGTACTCTCTCCATCCTTTTTTTTTCATTTTTTCTTTTTGAAATGTCTCAAAATAAAATACTTTTTTAGACAGTTAATATTTTTATTTTTTTACATTATAAATTTATATTTATTCTTTTTTTAACTTTTTCATATTAAAAAAATTATATATTATATTTTTAAATTTTAATAAAAATATATTAAAATAAAAAATTTATCTTAATTTTCGTGAAAAATAAAAAAGAGATAAATAGTTAGAAACGTAAGGGAGTATTATTTTTTTCACTTTAATGCATGTGCATCCAAATCTTCAGAGAAAATAAATTAGGGTGTTTTAATCTCATATCAACAAGTAAAAAGATCTTGAAATATTTATAAACGCGAGTGTTGTACATGTTATTAAATTAACCTTTTTAAAAAAAGGATCCTGTGACAAATAATCTTAGCATAAGTTTACACAAGA